GCGCAACGGCAGGGCCTGCTGGTCCCAACCGCGTGTCCCAAGGCCAGGCGCCACTGCCTAACGTTGCTTTCTGAAGCCCTTAGAAAAGTAGCTCTGGAAGCTGCCGGCTGCCACCTTTGCCGGGCGCATGCGAAACAGCGAAACAGCAGGGCCTGCTGGTCCCAACCGCGTGTCCCAAGGCCAGGCGCCACTGCTTAACGTTGCTTTCTGAAGCCCTGAGAAAACTAGCTCTGGAAGCTGCCGGCTGCCACTTTTGCCGGGCGCATGCGAAACAGCGAAACAGCAGGGCCGTGAGGGACGGACCGGGCCTCCGGGCAACGGCCCCCACTGCCTAACGTCACTTTCTGACCCTACAAGAAAATTTAGCTGTCTTCCAGCCGCCGCAGCTCACAAACGGCGCATCCGTTGCTTTCTGAAGCCCTTAGAAAAGTAGCTCTGGAAGCTGCCGACTGCCACCTTTGCCGGGCGCATGCGAAACAGCGAAACAGCAGGGCCTGCTGGTCCCAACCGCGTGTCCCAAGGCCAGGCGCCACTGCCTAACGTTGCTTTCTGAAGCCCTTAGAAAACTAGCTCTGGAAGCTGCCGGCTGCCACCTTTGCCGGGCGCATCCGAAACAGCGAAACAGCAGGGCCCTGAGGGACGGACCGGGCCTCCGGGCAACGGCCCCCAGTGCCTAACGTCACTTTCTGACCCTACAAGAAAATCTAGCTGTCTTCCAGCCGCCGCGGCTCACAAACGGCGCATCCGTTGCTTTCTGAAGCCCTTAGAAAACTAGCTCTGGAAGCTGCCGCTGCCACCTTTGCCGGGCGCATCCGAAACAGCGAAACAGCAGGGCCCTGAGGGACGGACCGGGCCTCCGGGCAACGGCCCCCAGTGCCTAACGTCACTTTCTGACCCTACAAGAAAATCTAGCTGTCTTCCAGCCGCCGCGGCTCACAAACGGCGCATCCGTTGCTTTCTGAAGCCCTTAGAAAAGTAGCTCTGGAAGCTGCCGACTGCCCCTTTGCCGGGCGCATGCGAAACAGCAAACAGCAGGGCCCTGAGGGACGGACCGGGCCTCCGGGCAACGGCCCCCAGTGCCTAACGTCACTTTCTGACCCTACAAGAAAATCTAGCTGTCTTTCAGCCGCCGCAGCTCACAAACGGCGCATCCGTTGCTTTCTGAAGCCCTTAGAAAAGTAGCTCTGGAAGCTGCCGACTGCCACCTTTGCCGGGCGCATGCGAAACAGCGAAACAGCAGGGCCTCCTGGTCCCAACCGCGTGTCCCAAGGCCAGGCGCCACTGCCTAACGTTGCTTTCTGAAGCCCTTAGAAAACTAGCTCTGGAAGCTGCCGGCTGCCACCTTTGCCGGGCGCATCCGAAACAGCGAAACAGCAGGGCCCTGAGGGACGGACCGGGCCTCCGGGCAACGGCCCCCAGTGCCTAACGTCACTTTCTGACCCTACAAGAAAATCTAGCTGTCTTCCAGCCGCCGCGGCTCACAAACGGCGGGCGCATCCGTTGCTTTCTGAAGCCCTTAGAAAACTAGCTCTGGAAGCTGCCGGCTGCCACCTTTGCCGGGCGCATCCGAAACAGCGAAACAGCAGGGCCCTGAGGGACGGACCGGGCCTCCGGGCAACGGCCCCTAGTGCCTAACGTCACTTTCTGACCCTACAAGAAAATCTAGCTGTCTTCCAGCCGCCGCGGCTCACAAACGGCGCATCCGTTGCTTTCTGAAGCCCTTAGAAAAGTAGCTCTGGAAGCTTCCGACTGCCACCTTTGCCGGCGAAACAGCAGGGCCCTGAGGGACGGACCGGGCCTCCGGGCAACGGCCCCCAGTGCCTAACGTCACTTTCTGACCCTACAAGACAATCTAGCTGTCTTCCAGCCGCCGCGGCTCACAAACGGCGCATCCGTTGCTTTCTGAAGCCCTTAGAAAAGTAGCTCTGGAAGCTGCCGACTGCCACCTTTGCCAGGCGCATGCGAAACAGCGAAACAGCATTCTGTCTGTCTGTCTGTCTGTCTGTCTATCTGTCTGTCTGTCTGTCTGTCTGTCTGTCTGTCTGTCTCTCTGTCTGTCTGTCTGTCTGTCTGTCTCTCTGTCTGTCTGTCTGTCTGTCTGTCTCTCTGTCTATCTGTCTGTCTGTCTGTCTGTCTGTCTGTCTGTCTCTCTGTCTGTCTGTCTGTCTGTCTGTCTGTCTCTCTGTCTGTCTGTCTGTATCTGTCTGTATCTGTCTGTCTGTCTATCTGTCTGTCTGTCTATCAGTCTGCCTGTCTCTCTGTCTCTCTCTCTCTCTCTGTCTCTCTCTGTCTCTCTGTCTCTATCTGTCTGTCTCTGTCTGTCTGTCTGTCTCTCTGTCTCTGTCTGTCTCTGTCTGTCTCTATCTGTCTCTGTCTGTCCCTTGAGCATTCTTCAGGGCATGCCTTCTCCAGCGCGCTCCCCCAGCATCCGGCTGGGGTCGGCGGATAATGTTTGTAGGAACCATAAAAATGGTAGTCTATGTCATTGGTTTACCACATTGTATACAGTTTCCATCCGTTTCCCACAGTCTTCTGTCGCGGCCAGAGGCACAGCGTTGGCTGGCTGAGAGCACCTGAAACATGGGCCCTTGAGAAGATCAGATCCTCAGCCTATACGATTCCCATCCATTGCCCGAAACATGAAAAAGGATGAAAAAGGGCTATTGGTTTGTGGATATGTCATGAATTTTCATGATATATCGGGGTGAAGTATTAATTATTTACCCAGATTCATGACCGTTAGACGTGTAGGAGGTAGCCCATCACTTTCCGAAATGGTCTTGCAGGATGCCCTTCTTGAAAACTCGCTTTTTCATTCCTGGAGATTGGGGATTGCAAAACCATCCATCATTCAACAGACAACGTTCAACCAATTTTTCAGGTCACATTTGAGTCACTGGTAAGGATATGGTAAGGATGTGGTAAGGATATGGGGTTTCATTCTGGAAGATCAGCAACGACTTGGAAAATTCGTGCAGTCGAGTGATATAGTGGGTCGGAGCATCTCTGGCTGCTGCCTGCGGCTGTGGCTATTTCTATAGCTAAATCATCCATAAATGGACCTGTATACTGTGTGCCATAGCTATATAAAGATATATATATATATTATATTATATGAAACGTGTTTTTTTGACTTTGGCACAATCACGGCACCAATCATCGACATCAATCTCTGCTGATTTCAGAGGTTGGCTTCCATGAACATGTATGACACTGTCAACAATACCCATCAACATGTACCCCGGCAAACAAATTGAAACGGGGTGGAATAGGAGAGCACGAATAGATACATTATCAAAAAAATCAGATTAAATCCTCATGAAGCACAAAGTGACTTTCTCACAGATTCGCCTTAATGGGTTTGGTGTTGGCCTTCAAAACCTCTGGAAATGCGTTCTGACTTCCTCAATAGCGGCCTCCCAGAAATGCACTGATCCAGTGAGCATCCAGGGAGCGTCGGTTGTGCAGGGGAGTTGCACAGCGAAAAGAGCCTGCGGCAATTTATGCTCTGGGTCCATGGGCGTGCAAAGAGTGTTAACCATGTTTGCGACATTGTTTTGTTGAGTCCTGCGTTTGAGATTTTTCAGTGGGTTGCGCAGCTAGGGCTGGATTCTCAAAATTTGACTCTCACTCAATGAGGATAATGAGTAGAGATCATTTTGCAGGGTGCCTCACATTCAAGATCCATGAATCCGTGGGGTCACAGATTTTAGTATAGTTTAGTCATGCTTTAGCCAATTTTGAGGCATACCATGCCATTTGTTTGGCAGACTGGATGAGGCCATGAATTTTTGGAGGTCCACATGATTGTGGGCCAGGGCGAGCTACTTGGAAGTGCCAGTGAACCAAGCGGATACAAAACCATAGAGGCCCTATTCCAATAAAACGGGTTAAAAGGAGAACTATTCTCACATGAATCATTTCAACTCCAACCTATCCTTTTTGGGTCGCCGGGTCACGCTGCTTCCCGCGCCGTTTTGGACCAGTTTCAACGCCCCGTGGCGCCCGGTTTTTTTGGGCCAGGGAGCGAGGGTGCGCGGGGGTAACGGTGCACCCTTTCGGTGGTGAACCCAGTTTGGCAATTAAATAAGTCATAAGTATTGTGTGGCGAAGTTGGATGTTGGTTTTACCGAATCAATTCCTGATTGGGTTCAACGGCATCACGCGCCCATACCGACTTGGAGCATCATAGCGGAGTCTGGGTGGTCGATTCAACCAGCGAAAATAGAAACGGTTTTGAATGTGTTTGATGTTTATTGAACCATCAGATTAGCAGTGAGTAGCATCAAGTAACATCAAGCTTAGTAACTAAGTATGGTCAGACCCCACATGTATCAGCGAAACAGCCGGAGGATCCAATCCAATTGCATACTCAAGGGATCACCATGTCATTTGTAGCCGTTGATTCATGGTTGGGTTTGTATTTGGACACCCTGCTTTCTGGATCTTGGAAACATATGTTTTCAAGTTTCAAAGCATAGAAAAACATGGAGTAACGAGATGGTTCATTATCACTGGGAAGGTAGTGTCACCCTATCAAGGTTGTAGGGGGGTGAAGGGGCATCGGAAAGTGGGATTGATTGCAGCGGAACTTAGTTCAGCCATGGCGAGAGCGAAAACTATTTGCCCAATATTTGCCCATATTTGCCCAGACCATGCATAGCATGTCTACTTCCATTCAGAACTAACGTGTACTGAAATGATGATCTCTGAACAAAGCCAAACTGAAATGAAAAAGGAATGAAAGGAAGACAACTGAGGTGAAGCAAGGGTATATTGTTTTGAGGCCACGTTGGGATGAAACGATTTATATCAATACCCAGATATTCATTGTTTATTCTAAGGCATTTATAGTAGTTAGTAGCTTAAAACGCGTTGAAGAAATTTCAAAATTCTAGATGTTTAACAACGCTTCTATAAAAATACTGGATCATCTCAGCTAGTAACTGGTTCATAATCCAAGTTAGCCAGATATACACATGGGATAACCCTGCGAGGAAATGTCGAAGATCTCCGCTGCTGCCTTGTTGCAGCTGGCAGACCAGTTTGACCGGCAGAAAAAGCTGGGGGCCCTGATTTGGGGTGTGGGATAGCCATGGATTTCTTCCACTGATATAATATGGGGGTTTCCATAAATGGGGGTACCCCAATAGCTGGATGGTTTATAATGGAACATCCTATTAAATTGGATGATGTGGGGGTACCCCTATTTCAGGAAACCTCCATATTATTGTAGACTTCAATTATTGTGCAAATCCCAAAGAATGGGATTCAATCCAGAAGTGAGGCAAAAATACGGCATCGGAATCTTAACCTGCAAAAGTGGAGAAGTTTAGCAAAACAAGGAAAAACACGAAAAACAAAATATATGGGAAGCAAGCCCCATCCTACGTATGATATCCTGTGTGTTTTTAGGTGTCACATGGTTTACTGACTGGTTTCATGTCGTGTAACATAGTCCACTATGGGATAACACGTGTCCCATGAGTTGAACAACCATCTCCTATATAACCAGTGGTGACCAAACATGGCAGCGGAGAAATTCCGCATTTATAGATGTCTGCATCTCAATGCCCAGATTTATGATGATTTATGGGGAATGTCCCATTGGCATGATTCATTGAGGGCAAGTCACTTAGTTTTGGTGATCCTCCTCCCAGTTTTTAGTGGACAGTCCGTGGTTGGTTTTGACTGCCTGGTGGTTTTGAAGGCCCATGGAGCCGCAGATTCTAAACACCTTGAGTAAAGCATTGTCAGCTTGGTGTGGAGCCACACCCCCTGGTTGGTGCCTCCTGTTTTGGACTCAACCACCAACCAGCTGACCGTGGATAACATTTTGAGACTTTTTTTGCCCAAGAACTCACTGATTCTGTTGGTGCATTGTCTCAAGTTTGGCGAACTGTTGTAGATAATCCAGATGTTTGCAATCCCACATGTTTGGTGGTTCCGTCTTTATTATTTTTATCCAACATCACAATTTTCGCCCTTGTTACAGTTCAGCAAGGGCCAGGCACCTGAACAATGGTTTCGATTCTCTGTTTGGGATGGTTCATGCTTTATTCAAGGGTGGAGAGTCAAAACTCAAAACCATTCCAAACCTTTGAAGTCAAAAACATGGCCAAATCAAAAGCATTCAAATCCTACCCTCTGGTTATTTAACATAGCCATGGAAAATCACCTTGTTTAATAGGTAAAGCATCTATTTCTATGGGCCATCTATCCCATGGCTATGTCGCGCCAGTGATGTGTCCAGGTTTCGGCGCAGGAGGATCGACAAAGCGCTGGGGAGGACCAGCGCATAGCCCGCTGCTTTTATGGGCACCTAAAATGGGTGAAATTTGTCATACCATGGGGACATACCATGGGACTGATTTTGGCAGACTTTGGGATACCCTCTGGTTATGACTAACATAGCTATTGAAAATGGTGATTTATAGTGGATTTCCCATTAAAAATGGTGATTTTTCATAGTTATGTTAGTTTACCAGAGAGTACCCCATTTTCAGGCCTAAGGCCCAAGCAGTGTTCAAGACATCTCAGTGGGTTGACGTTTTTTTGAGATGCTAAGTTTGTACTTGAAGTTTTGTCATCCAATATGTACACATTTGGTCATTCCTGGTGCAAGAAATTCCTAAGTTTGAGCCGCATTGGGGTGTGTTTATCGATTGTCCATGTTAGTTTGCAAGGATGGCGGATGGCAGGCTGAAAAGCGTCCAAATAGGTGTCCGTCCATGCTGGCCAGGCATTGCGCAAAATGATTTTGCGAAGCATAGCTCGTCAGTGTGGATATTGTTTCCTTTGCTGCTACGACTGTTGTGCCAACATGAACATGTTTAGAAACGCTGACAAGTGGCAAGCATCTCGAATCTCCTTCCTTTTTATCTTACCCCGCAATTTGGACAATGAAAGCCTGCTTGACTTTTTTTGTCGGCGTCTAGCTTAGTCTGACAGAAGTGTGGATTGCATGTTTTGGTTGGGTCAGGAGGCTAGCCAAGACCGAAAGTGAATCCCTATGATATGGGTATGGCAATCTATTTTGCTCTTATTTTGGAAACCCAAAGACGCCTCTCGGATCGCTGTTATGTTTCCTTTGTCTATATAATTTGAGCCACAGTCAAAAGGTCGACGTCACGATTTTGGATCAAAGTGGAATAGCGGAACATTTGTTGCCTTTACTTGGGAAACAAAGCCGGAAACATGACACCCCTTCCTTGGAAGAGAGATTTGTCTCTTGGTTTGTCCTTTTCTCTTTCCATTCTTGTATGTTTTTGTTTTCATGAGTTATTTTATAGTTAGTTTTGTTTTGATTTCATGGTGCTTTTTCCCTGCCAGGTGAGTAGATTGCAAGCTCCGGATGCGGAGCATGCCTGGACCCGAACACATGCCAGACAGAATGTCAGATATGTCAAGTAAAACTTTCAAACAGAATGCCAGATATATGTCAGATAGGAACGCCAGATAGAATGCCAGAATATATGTCAGATATAATGCCAGAATATATGTCAGATAGAGTGTCAGTTAAATCGTCAGATAGCGTGTTAGATGATAAAGTAAAATGCCAGAATATATATGTCAGATAGGAATGCCAGCTAGAATACCAGATACACTAAAATGTCAGAATATTTGTCAGAAGGGAATGCCAGATAGAATGCAAATAAAATGTCAGAATATGCGTCAGATAGAAATAGATAGAATGTAAGAATATATTATGCACCACGGTGTGGATCACTCGAATAAAAACAATTTCTTTGTTTTTAAGTTTTTTTTTTTAGATACCATATCATATATATAATTATATATATATAAATAAATATATATATATATATATTTATTATATATTTATATTTATTACATATATATATATATACGTATATATGTATATTTATAATATAATATATATATATATATATAATCCCCATCTTCTCTGCAACCACCAAGTCACCGGCACCAGGATTCCGAAGGGTCAAGAGTCGCCTTTTGGCGACTTCCCTGAGGATTATGCCAGGTGGGGGCTGTGATTTCTGGTCCCCGGGATCGTTCATAGTGGGGTTACTATAGCCAGTATAGGATACTCGGATAGTCTATGATATGATAATTAGCATGTCAATACCTTTCCATAAATAGAGTGGTGGTGTTTATGTATAATTAACAATTTTTAGAATTATATACCATGATGAAAATATATCCCAAAATTGAAAGAACAAGTAATTTCCAAGTACAGCTAGTATGAGTTCTTTTTTTTGGGGTGCTACATTCCGTTGTAGGGAAAGTGGTCAGACCCGCAATGAAGTCTTGCATCTTATCTGGGTTGTTTCAAGATATTTTTTCGCATGGCCAACCAATGTTTGCTGGACATGCACGCACATGATATCCTCATAGATCTCCATTGTGCGTATATAGGCAAGTCTATAAATGTACCCAATGATTGCAAGTCACCATTGTCCCTATGTACTGGAATCAACTATGACACTATGGCCTTATCTTCAAAGGGGATATGTCCTGATCCACATGTTGTATCGTTTCGTTGTATACCAGATAGGTTTCCTATAGTTACCCGCTGGCTGCTAGTGCCATTTGAGGGTAGTCAAATGATGTTAAATGGGATCTTTGGAAAAGCTGTGGACGCTCAAAAGGGCCATAAACCGTTGGATTTTGCAGTGCCCAATTTTCAAACCCATATATGCAGTGTTTTTGAAGGTTTATACACTGCAATCGTTCCGCTTGCTGTGAATCCCTCACTGTGAATAGCTTCTGGCCACTGCTTACATGTTCTTTGGTTGTAATGTATATAGGTTTGCCCAAAAATGGAGTACACCCTGAACTGACAATGCTAATTGAAAGCTTGATGACAGACCTCTATTGGGTAAGACTTGACCCATTAAGCAAGTAAAACAATGCATCAGTCCGTCCATTGCTGGCTAATGGAACATCGTCCCCAACTTGTAAAGGGTGATACGTCAGGATCCTTCTAAAATCTAGGTAAACCTTGGCTGGGTCGTGAAGCAGTTTAACAATGTTTAACATTCTTAAACCTCTTTTCATCAATGGGGGAATATAAGACCCAGCAACAAAAATATGTGTTCGGTATCTAGCAAAGGCCAGGATGTCACTGCCAGAAGAGCAGATTTACCCTTCATTTTGCTTGGATTCAAGGCCAACAAAAATAGGATAAACATGGATAAACTAGGATTTAACCAAATTTTCCTGATGAAGATTGCTGTTTTTGGGTAAATCCTGTAAATGTCCATCTATCGGGCAAATCCATCTCATGAATTGTTGGTTCTAGATCACATCCCCATTGTTTATATACCCATTGTAGTTAAATCGTATGTGTTTGCCCAACAACATTTGACATTATCATTAGCACCAAGAAGTTGGACCGGAATATAGATTTATAGTTAGAACTTAGTCAAAGGATGGAGACTAGTTAAATCTATTGGTGGTCCTTCATCAAGTCCCCATTAGTCAGCCACCCGCATCACCACAATCTACCCGTTAAAAATCCCAATGGTCAAAATCCCCCTTGATGCTATTAAATAGTTGCTACTCTACCAACTCTGCCGATTGGGGTTACCCACATATCATATAATATATTCTATCCTCATAAATCCCTCATTATATCTCAACTCATATACGCATCAAATGCAATGAATCCTGTTAAATCCTTGAAAATCCCGATTTTTACTGCGTTTAATTTTGTACATGCACTCAAACCTTCATCTTAAATACATCAAAATAAGTTCCCATGAAATTATCATGAAATCACATGAACTGAATACCACTAAATCATGGGAAACATTCCAAAATTTCATTATGAGATCATGAGATCCCATCCCACCTGCGCGAGGCCGCTGCCCACGACGCCCCTCTCCGCGCGTGCGCCGTCGTCCCTGGCACGAACGGTGCCGGTGCCGGTGGGGGAACCCAGGTGCTCCAAGAAAGATATGGGATGTGCAACCAACCGGAGCAACCACTAGCCATGTTTATACCAAAATCATGGGGGACCTTGCTAACAAAAAAGTACCTACCCAGGCCCATGATGGCCCATGTGCAATCATTTGCCTAGGTAAAATCAGGGTGTACTAGCGACTACTTGCCAAGGATGGCTGGTCGGTTCTTTGGTGCCCATTGACTTTGGTATTGTTTTGGGCCCCAGTCCCATGTAAACGCACGGACAGCGCGATCCTGTTTGCCATGGTACGGTGTGTTCATCTTCATTTTTTGCCACGCCTGTCAGGTTTTTGAAGGGGTTGTTTTGGAGGGTGGGGGCGATTTTTTTGGGGGGTTAAGGTGGCTAATAATATTCTTCTGCCTTGTGTTCATTTTTAACTCCCAAGACGCTCTTGCTTTCAGCCACAAAGTTGCGGCTTCGGAGGCACAATCATTTGGGTCCGGGTGCACCAAAAGATGCGCACTTACACCAGTTAGCAGCACAATGGTTGCTGGCGTGCCTGGCTTGAAGAGTTTGTTGGAAGCCTTGTCTGTGCTCTGTCAGCATAGATGCAGTCAGTTGGGCTGTGATCCTAAGGCCTTCTTAGATGTCCAAAACGATCAAGAATGGCAGGGGTGGAGAAAAAGAGAGCTCACAGCCTAATTCTATTGCAAACAAACCTTGCGGTGGCACACGTTTACAGAGGATTGGCGCGTTGTTTTGGGGGATTGAAAACACTTGTAGATGCTCCTTGTAGCCTTATAGCCCATCAAAATGTGGAATTACCAGTCATTACTTAAAGTATCTTAAAGTTCGTTAGTTGAAACCAACACTTTCTCCACTTATACCAGGTGCCATGACCTTGGATACGAAGCGAGTGGTTTTTGAAAGTGGCTGTTCTCCCCTCCAAAGAGAATGGTGGATGTACAAGCCGCAGGCTCGGTTGATGGGGGTGTTTTACTATTGAAACCCGACATGACCAAATTGCCATCGAAAACCTTCAGGGATCACTTCACCGGGGAGATATCTATCGAGCAACCCCCTCCAATCTCTGATTCTTTGAAGCAAATTGTTGGTTTTCCCAAGTTTTCGACAAACCCATATGATAATGACAAAACTTTTTATAAATGTGTGAGCCCAGCATATCCGATAATTATCCAGGATCATTGAAAATCAACAACCTCCATTGTTTTTATCTTTGAAGATGCTGGTTGACCTGAAGAAGTTACGATGTATACAGGTTTTACAACGTTTGTAAATCCACTTCCCGTTAGGCCCTACTTGTAAACACCCCCTATGGAAACCCTCATAGAAGAGGCTGGACCTGTTGATTTTTTAAAGGTATGGCCGGTATGGCTAGTTTTTTTGCGGGGGGGTTCATCCCAAGGATCAATCCTGGCAAAGGATCAATGCTGGCAAAGAGTTTTTTTGATGGCTAAAAACAACAATCTAATCTTGTCACATGTTTGGTGGGTAAAAATCATTGGGGGGCCAAGAATTTCAAAACAGGATCATCTTGTATCATCCTGCTCAGTACACGCCTGGTTTTCTGGGAGTTTCGGTTGCACCTACACTCCTGGCCGGATGAACCATCAAGTAACAAGTATTTTACATGCATAGCATCTGATAGCCCCCCATGAAATCATAATGAATCTCTCCGAAAGTGCCCATGGTCAACACCCCAGAGTATACTACAGTAAAAATGTGTAAACATCTGTAAACATATATATATATATATATATTGTATTATAATATATATATATATATATAATATGTGTAAAGATTGCAACAAGAATCCTGAAAAATCTTCTCCAGATCTCTAGGACCTAAGTTCCTCGATGCAAGCGGCAGAAGCGCGTGGGAGGCAGCGATCTTGGCAGATGATTTCACCCAGAAACATCGAAAAAAATACCCTGAGGCCCTTAGGGGTTCATTAAGAAAACATCATAGGTCCATGGGGACACCATGGGACACCTAAGGTTTTTCCATAACACCATAACACGGAATGTAACATCTAGAATCTAGAAATCTCGAAAAGCAGATTGGTGATGGCTGATGGCTGAGGATCGAGATGGAACTTATGTAAGACTGGACAAAAATGGGGAAACCATCGTTACACGCTGGTTGATGGTTGTGTTCATTCATAGTATGTTCCCTACAGCAAACGGAATAATCACAATGATCATGTCCCAAGTTGTTTTTTATTTTGGAAAACCGAACACCTCAAGCATAGAAATGCATAGAATAGAATCAATATCTGCGATACTCAAATGATGGTTTTGCGCGGTTGAAATTCCAGGGACCTCCCAGTTGTTTTCCACCGAAGCGCTGGAGAAAGCCGATTCAAATTCCTAGATATCTAGATCAAGTGGTACTTGCACAGCTATTTTACAATTCATAAACTTGGTTTCTTTGTGATAAAAAGATACATGGCCACAGAAAGTTGTAAAGGCATCTGTTTCTGTTTGTTTATTAAATAGGGAGTAAAATGTAAAGTTGTATGGTCAAAAAGTATGGAGGTTATTATTGTTTTCCTTTTCATATTTTCAAAGGGGATTGAAACCACCAACTAGACATGTTGATAGAAGGGTAATAAAGGGGAAGGATGTACATGATTTTCAGGAGTTTCCAGTGACACATGAGGAGTGATATTTCACGGGTGTGCAACATATTTTCGGAATGTTGAAGATATATAAATGACAAACGATGGATTTCGCCGACAGAGATGTGAAAATAATCAAAACAATTTAACACACCGTGGATCACAGAAATGTTTTATGCCCAACAAAGAGGGAATTTTACATAATCAGCCAAAAACAGAGCGCTTGGTTATTGACATACAAGTTGTGTTGAGACTAGGCTGACAACATGGTGCCATTGACAACATTGGATTGTTTTTTTTAATATGGGGAGATTTGCGGGGGAATAGCCAACCAAGGTGGGAGATTGGGAAGGGTATACCGTTGCGGCATATATATTTCAACATTAAAAACACAATGGCCCAAAAATGAGTGTGGAAGATGACTTTCTGGATTTCTTCAGGGTGTTAGAGATATGGTTTTGGCGGAAATTACAGTAGCCTAAAATATCCTAAAATCCAATTACCATATTTTCATACATTGTCTCTATTGAAATGTCTATTGTGGGAGTACACCCCACTTGAAGACACAATGCGGGTCCGTCCTGTGCCGAGTCCACGAAGTGAAGCTTCCTGCAGGTCCCTCCGATCAATGGCCGTAGCGCCCAAGTCGGCGAGAGGCTGCGCGCCGCTTGAAGTTTCGTGGATCCAAAGCATATGTGTCTGAACATGGGGTATACTCCACGGTGAAAGATAAAGATGATGGTGATTATAGCTTCTGGGTTTCAGGGAAGGGAAACTTATTTTTAGACAAAGCCATATTTCATGACCATGTGGGGGATGAACATCCACGGTCATAGAAGCTACGAAACCCAGGGCTTCATGAAGATGGTGTGCCCCAAGATTTCACGATCCATCACAATCCTGAAAAATAATCACAATCCCTTCCCGAAAAAATATGAAAATTTGAGTCAATACCCAAGACAATGAAGCCCTGAATTATTATTGAATCTCTTCATTTTTTGGCTTATCTATTGGCTATTGTTGGATATTAGTAGCTTTATTGTGGTACAACCTCATTTCAAAATGAATCAACGATGTTATAGCCCAAGATCTCAAGATTTCTGACTGGTTACACCATGTAAAAGCCATGTAAAAACCATGTAAAAACCATGGCATATCCTCAACCCCAACACGTAGCGACGTAGTTTCCCCATCTTTGGACCATCTCCAGGTCCCAACAGGATGGCTGTGACACTTCAAGCTCTGAGAGATGAGGCTGCCGTGAAATCAGAGGACGGGAGGATTTTTGTTGTTCAATGTATAGATAATATATATATATATATTACATATTTTTTAATTATATATAATAATAATAATAATAAATATATATATATTGGGAGTTGATCTAAAGGTCCATGTAGGGATTGTTAATTACAAAGGCCGCCAATGTTACAACAAAAGACCCCGCAAAAGTTTTTTCTGAGTTCGCGAAAGTAAATGTTATTTGGCAGAAGAATTGGCGAAAGTTTATCTTGATGAGCTTGCTTAAGCGGCTTAATTTGTCATTATTCTAGGTGAAGTGAGAACCGTCTGAATTGTTATTGGAAGGCAAAGAATAGACCCAAGCACTACAATGTAACCAAGTGGAGCTGAACCCCCAACCACGGTTCAGGGTGCAGATTTTTCGGTTGATTTGCAACGGTTTTTTTTTTGCGAAAGTCTGGCGAAAGTTCCGCGAAAGCAGTGGCGAAGGAGAAGGTGTCCATAGAAGCCAGTAGCCCACACAGCACCTTTGCAGCGGCAAGTCAAGTGAACGTGGTAAACGATGAAACTCTGTTATTTCCTTGTGGAATTTCCCCAAAATGGCCTTGCATCTACCCTTGGCTGTCTCCCGGATCGCTCACGCAGGTACTGTTTGCATGCTGTTTGAGTGTGTCTCAACAGCACCAAAGTGGATAGCGGCAACCCCGCGAAAGACAAACGTTTATTCGCGAAGAATGGCTGTTTGCAGATAAAGGAATTTATATCAACCACCAACATAGATACATTACATACTGTACATATATAAGTATATATATTATATATATATATGTATGTATAATTCAGGGTTTAAATCAATGGACATACATATATATATATGGCAATATATGTGTATATGGTCGAGAATGTCAGTTGATATATATATATATTTACATATTTACAGTATATATGATTCAAAATTCAAAACTATTAGATGTAAAGTATGTTTATTAGTTAATCATCGGTCTAGATGGGTCAAAACAGAATCTCAGAATTTGGAAATGTCAAACAATCCTCACCAAAATATGGGAATATGTTTGAAATTCCCATGTTCTATCTGCGTCATGATAACTAGATATATGTATATACTTTGTAGTTCATCCCAGTAGGTGGGTTTGTTCACTTTTTTCTAAGCAGCCGATCCGCAAGGGCAATATCCACTGAGCAAACTGGGATGAAGCTACCCACTAACTACATGTGATGAACCACCAAGTATACATCCGCACAAATTATAACGACCTCACCTCGCGACATGGAATGATGGTTAAGAGCAACTATCCCAAAATGGTCGAACCTTGTAGGATCGTGAATAAAGAACTGCCAGTTTCCAACTATTTGTCAGGTTGGGGGCACAAGTCTATGTTTTGGGCAAAATCACCCTGGTTACCTCAGAGATATTGTATATGAAAGGAAGGCTAGGGATATATGATATATGTATAATTTATATATATATATAGATATTATTTTATTTTGATAAGATTTATTTCCATGGAAATGATACAATTTACCGCAATTCCACTGAATAAATGATACGGTTTTCGACAAGACCAACAGAAACAGCCATGCACACTTTTAAACAGTTTCAAACGATGTCATATATAATTATATAATCGTGACTCTGCAGATTCACCAATGCATATATACATATACTTATACAATATGTTTATTTAAGATGAAACCTACCTACAAATAGATAGTGAGATTTATCACAAACAACAAAGGAAACACACTATGACTCCCAGAATTCGCAGAACAAAACCATCTCATTAGCAAGATTCTTCGTCAAATTGCAATTCTCAAGGTTTAAATCACCATGTTTGTAGGTTTCCAACTTTCGAACACCACTTGTCTGCATGAAATCATCAGTTGTGTGGTTTGAATCACCATTTTTGCAGGTTTTCGACCTCAAATTTTCAGGGTAAAATGGGTAAAAATTCCAAATTCCCATGGATTCAGCCTTCTTTGAAGGATTTTTTGGCGGCCCACAGGTGCAGAAACAGGCTGAAGCCTTGAGCCCTCGTAGCCCGCGCTCGAGCCCGCGCTCTCCGGCCCTGTCGGCACGCGTGGGGGTGTCCCAAGCCGCGGATGGGCAGATGGGGCTCCAAACCATAAATGATGGCCACTTTTGGGGGGTAAACATATTATGATGATGGTTACTTGTGATATTTGGGGGGTAAAATATTTATGGAGGTATATATCTAAATGATGGTCATTTTACCTCCATATTTAGCCAAAAAAATAGACCCCAAAAATCCCCCCTTGTACCTGGGGTGTTTGGAGCAACGCTGTTTATTATCACTCAGATCATCATTTTGGGGTTGACTCAGAAAAACATGAAGAAACATGACGAACCATTACATTAAAAAAATGATAATAATCATATGCCATGGTCAAAACTGGGGTTGGATCATACAAACCTGTCCTGCGCGATGGTCATCAGGAAGATTCCCACATATTCCCACTACTGTGTGGGATGGACGACCATAAACCATTCATACCATCTTTTTGACCATGGCACAAATCATCGGAAAACAGTGGACAATCATTGAAAAAACACGTCCACAGAATTCCATATATAAATTAAAGTATCTTAAAATATGGTACCCCCAAATCCACTGTTTTTCAGCATTTTCCCCCATGTTCAATGGTTAGTTAGTTGGGGGTATATCCTGCTGGGTTTTGATCCAGAAAAGATTGGATGGGAGGCTGCAGTGGGATGGGCGCACCATTGCCAGCCTTTGACAAAAGGCTGAGCAAGGACAAATGAAGAGTTGAAACAAACAAGTATGAATTATCTAGACATAGTATGATATAGTATTATAATCATATAGTCATAGTATTTTTTTTATTTATCATCCTATGGTTATATATCATGGTATAATGATTGATACTGGATGATATTGATGAATTATTGATGAACCAATGGAAAGTCCGGAGTTCAAATCTCCGGGGCCGTTCAGGCACCGCAAATGATGACCCATTCCCAACGGTTTTCCATCGATTTTCCGTAGATTTTCCCAAGTTTCTTTGCGGGTTTGATCACACCAGGCTTTGAAAATAAACCATTTTCATACCCTGAGAGTTGACGCTTCACCAGGGGTACCCTGTAGCCCATTTTAGTTAGGTACCCGATTAAAAAAAAACAAACAAAAAAGGTTTAATAGTTATGCTCATAATGATAGACTACAAATTGTGATATTTTAGTTAGTTCATGTTAGTTCCTTCTTGTATTTTACTTCTTCTTCATAATAGTTTCCTGTTTTTTTTAGTAATTACCACATTTTCAAACACACCCAGAAGGTAAACCACTGGGGATGCCATAAATATCTCCTTGGCGAGGCTGGAAGCCCTCAAAAGCTGCAGGCTGTCGTAAAGATTCATGGCATTCTTGCGACATGAACTGGAAATCGGGCTCCACATTTTTCGCAGATGTCCAGATATTTTCACAGGTAAATCATTGTCGCAGATCTCATCTTTGTGGGATAGTTTTCAGAATTGTTCATCTGAATCGATTCATGGACCGGGTCAGGAGATGGATTCGGCAATCGCAGGACAGTAATTATCTCTAGACATTTGAACAGGTTGTGAAGATTTCAGAGACTGGTACCCAAAAAATCCCCACGGAGAATACAGAATATCAAGATAATCACTAGCCTTTGTGGCCAGGCATCACAGCAGCAAGTTGTGAAGGTGGCGAAGAAGATTTACATAGATTTACAGTAGTTGGTGTCTTTTTTCCCCACCTGCCAGGTGAGGGTTGTTAGATTTTATGTCAGTTGCCTCCTCCTCCTGCCGCCTCCTGCCTCCTCCTCGTCCTCCTTGTCGTCCTTGTCGTCCTCGTCGTCCTCGTCCAACTGCGACCCGCGATCCACAGTGTTCGCTGCCGGACCTCAACCACGACCATCCACGACCAGTGTTCCCTGCCGGACCTCAACCACGACCATCCACGCCCAGTGCCGGACCTCAACCACGACCATCCACGCCCAGTGTTCCCTGCCGGACCTCAACCGCGAGTATCCCCGCCCAGTGTTCCCTGCCGGACTCAACCACGACCATCCACGCCCAGTGTTCCCTGCCGGACCGCAACCGCGAGTATCCACGCCAAAAGATATGCCACATAGAGTGCCAGAAGATATGCCAGATAGAATGTTAGAAGATATGCCAGATAGAATGCCAGAAGGTATGCCAGATAGAATGCCAGATAGAATGTCAGCTAGAATGCCAGTAGATATGCCAGATAAAGTGCCAGAATGTTTGCCAGATAGAATGCCAGCAGATTTGCCAGATAATATGCCAGAAGATATGCTAGATAGAATGCCAGATGGAATGCCAGAAGATTTGCCAGATAATATGCCAGAAGATATGCCAGATAGAATGCCAGATGGAATGCCAGAAGATATGCCAGAACATATGCAAGAAGATATGCCAGAAGATATGCCAGAACATCTGCCAGAAGATATGCCAGAACATCTGCCAGAAGATATGCCAGGTAGAATGCCAGAAGATATGCCAGATAGAATGCCAGATCGAATGCCAGAAGATATGTCAGATAGAATGCCAGAAGATTTGCCAGTAACAAAATGTATAAATGTCATGGTGGGGATCACACGAAGTAAAGTAATTGTGGATCAAACATGACACGTGGTGTCTATTAAGCCGAATGTGTGACCTCACGTGACCTCACGTCACTGGAATGATGGATAAGGGGTAACTCCTAAGTATCCCCATAGAGTCCTGATTGCAGGTTCGTGAAGTACCACAATTTGCCCAGAATATAGCTCAAGATCTCCTGTGGTACCCAAACTCTCCGATCCATGGGTTAGATCAACACTTTTCAATCGAAAAATCCCAGTTTGATCCCCGGTCCCCACTTAAAGATTCCCCAGAATTGAAGGGAAAACCTGCGGGAAAGCCTCAAACATGTCATGGTGTATAAAAGCCATAGTTAGTTTGCTTCAATTTGTTCCTTTAAACCAACCCAATGGACAACGTGGCTTGAATGCTATTTTATATGAATATATGTATGAACCCCTGCAAAAACTCCGGCAATGGGAAACATGTAAGGGACGAGAAACTGTACAGGACAAACATGAGGTAAGCGATGGAACCTTCTCAGATAGCAATACCCCCTTTGAAGGTTATGTCATAGCAGTGCACGCACATCATTTTTCTTTAAGCGATACCCCCAAATTTGCCACACATTTTTTATTCATGTGTATACCAACATGTGGGAAGCCATGGGACCTTCCCAAATTTAATATCCTTTTCGTGAACCTTGAGTTTCCGAGATTGCTCCTATATCAGCCTATATATAATATATATATATACAATAGAACATATGTATATAGATGTAATATACATCATCCCAATATAATTATAATTATAAATTGATAATCTATAATATCCCAATTAAATTTATAATTATATTCTTGATTTTATCATATGTTATCCCAATTTCTTGATGTTTACTCTCTTGGACTTGCCGCGCAGATGGCGCCGTCGCCGCCGAAAGCCGGCGCCTTCAGGTCGGTTCTGTGGTTTTTTTTTGGTGGGACAGACAGGGACAATGATGGGAAAATGAAGGAAAGCATGGGGAACAAGATGGAACATGAATGAACATGATGGAATATAGATCGATGTGTGGGAACATAATGGAACATATGGAAATCATCGACAGGAAACGATGGCTTGCATACATTTTTACAGATGGAAAGCATAGGACTTCTGCTTTCGTGCACGGGAAGCGCTGGTTCGATATGTCTTTGCCGGTCCTTGTTTGCAGAACCACCGGCGAGATTTAAAGGAAAATCTACAGAAAACTATGCGGTTTTACATGGTGATCTCATCAAAATGTCAGAAATTGGGTTCCTTCAAGGGAAAATCACCTACGATATTTTAACGGCCTTTTCCCATCCCTCCCCAACAAGTCTGGAAATCTGGTCAATTTCCATGCTGAGCATTCTATCAGGAAATTACACCAATATTAGTGAACTTATTCCTCAGTAAAAGCACATCGGTTAAATCCCAATTCACCCATGGCTGCCCATGTTTTCGCCTTCAAAAATAGCCCTATCTCAATCCCATCCGATCCCGTGAAAGACTGGCTGGCTAGGTATCCCGTTCAGCACATAGGTCATTTAGTTCATCCCCAATAAACCAGGTAGGTTACTACATGACTAACCCATCAGCCATCATGAGTACTAGGTACCAAATATATCTCCAATTATGTCCACAAATGTTTGAGGCCTAAAATAAACGGTGTCAAAGTGAATGGCTTAATGCAGCAATGGAAGCTCGGGTGTAAAGATCGCTGGTGTTGCTGGATGTCACATGAGTTGAATCCCCATGAAATCCATGAAAGAGGGTCCCATATTTACATGGTGTTTATTTTTTGCTATATCTATCTATATCTAATATAGCGAGTCATTGAAAATGGTAGGATAGCATTGAAAAAGCAGCCCCCCAAGAGATGGCAAATACCCCAAAAAGATGCCGAAAAGAAACAATTCACCACTAGTAGAACTGTAGAACTGTACTTTTTTCTGTATCTTTTTGAGGTTTAGTATATACATATATTAATTCCATATATATATATATACACGTATATTTATAATTATATATATATACATATATCTATCTATCTATCCTATCCTATCCTATCCTATCCTATCCTATCCTATCCTATCCTATCCTATCCTATCCTATCCTATCCTATCTATCTATCTATCTATATATCCATACATATAGCTTTATCCTTCTAACCACGAGCCGCCCTGTTTCCCCATCATCCAGGCGCCGCGCCATCAAGCCTTCGGAGTTTCGGCGCTTCTACGATCGTGGCGATCTGCCGATCCAGGCAGATGGCGATCGTGTTTCGATGTGTTTCAATCGTTTCCCTATGAAACATGGCAAGTCAGTAACGATTGAACCATTTTTCAGATAATTTTCTATAAGCATTTTTCGAACTAATAATATGATTCATGTAACATAACATGGCTGGAAAATCACTCCTCTTATTTAGTTCGATGATTGTCCCAGATCACTCATTGTTCGATTTCCCATTGCTATGTTGTTGAGATGTTTTTTCAAGATGTTCCAAGCAATGTGGAAAACATGCCAGCATGAAATTTGTTTGGCCTTGTGGTCAACCTGACCGCAAGGTGGCAAGGTGCCTATTGACCATTCTGGAAAACAACTAGATTTGGCGTAGAGAGCAGCAGACAGGATTGTTTATCGAAAAATATGAAGAACATATCCTGGTTGGTGGTTCGGAACATTTTTTATTTTTCCATATATTGGGAATAATGATCCCAACTGACTAATATTTTTCAGAGGGGTCGAAACCACCAACCAGTATCATTTAGCTATGTTCAAATGATCCAACCACAAGAAATGGTGATGCTTTTAGTAGGTCCCAACAGCACCCCAAAAAATGGGTTGCCATTTTTGGCAGGTGCAGCACACTGGCACGCAGAACAAGATCGTGGGCAGCTCAAGCCAGAAGCGTTCTGCAGAACAGCATGGCTCGAAATTGAAGACGGACCAAACATGATGAAAACATAGGGATATATTAGGTATCCCTTTATTTCTCATCATATATGAGATATATCCCATATATAACATGCAAGAATGGCCCTATTTGATGTGTATACTATAGGGCAAATAATAGACATAATCAATCAGATTCTGGACCACCCCTCCAACTGGTTGATCTGTTTTTTGGATAAAACCCTAAATTTCGGGGGATTGATAATTCCCATTTCCAGATGATGTTTTCGTGTCATCAAAATTGACGGCCTTTGACAAAGATAAGCGCCCTACATGTTTCTTTGGAGGTAGCAGAATTCGGAATTTCAGTTGTTGTTTCCCCATTATTCTTATCGGATCCGTACGGATATGAGATGTTATGGCTGACAAACATCAAAAACAATTTTCAAGGGGGTTGATGAAATTGGGTGTGCAGCCTACTTGGGATAGTTCATGAGTCTAAGCGCCTTAAATGGTTGTAACTAGTTGTAACCGTTGGGGATGTTGGGGATGCTTTATGACATGTCTTAGCTGAGCTGCTTTTTTTGGAGGGTTTACCACCACAAATATCTGTGGTCATCTCAAAAATCCAAGGCGTGGAAGGTGGACATCGAAAAGTTGGACTATCACCACTATCTGCCCATCTTCTTCGATGGGTCACTTGAACGGTTGAGGGAGTTGGATGTGGATCTTCATGGATGTTTTTATGGTGATGTTTGATTGAAAATCCATTGTGTAATAGTTATCTGGTTGGTGGTTTGGAACATGAATTTTATTTTTCCATATATTGGGAAGAATCATCCCAACTGACTTTCATATTTTTCAGAGGGGTTGAAGCCACCAACCAGTTATTCAAATCATTCAAGAGATTTTCCGTATTACAAGACGCAACTCCCAGGTTCAACGATTTGAGCAAACAGCCGTGCACTTTCATTCCTGGATTTCCTGGCCGTGTTAGGGTTTTGTTACGCAGATGTATTGGTGGCAACTGCATGTAATGTAATGATTAGATACGATTAGGTCACATGCCAAAAGATCAGATACAGTAACAGACACAGACCAGTGAGGCATAAGCGGCAAAAGCTCTTAGTTCAGTTCGCCCAAATCTTGGGGGTGAAACAACCATCAGCCATGCTACCTCCATGGCCCTCTGGGAACAACGTGCTGATCTCTGGAGAAGCTAATCATCTTAATCCGTTTTTATCCATTTTTCATGTAGGTTAAAGATGGATAATATGGCAATCCAATGTGAATCCATTTTAAATATGGTAATATGTCATCATCTACCACGGCCCACGGGCCGGCACGGAAGCCATGGCACCGAGGCTGAGAGAAAAGGAGGACCCTTATCGCTTCCTTGCCGTCGAGGCTGGAGATCTATAGCGACATATAGCTGCGAAAACCCATGGTATGGGTTGTAAATGAAAAACAATGAAAAACATATATATATATATATATACGGTCATCTGAAAATGCCAGAGAAACTCTTTTTTGGCTAAGTTGATGGAGTTCCCAAGATCAAAGGAGTTTGCTGTCAGAGTGTACTGATGTGTAGACTATGCGCAATATTTCTACCAAATTTCACCACCCCTCAAATGGGTGTTGATCAACATTCTCTACCCCAGAAAAGGGATGGTTGTTCAGCGCAGAAAAGCGGCGAAGGCCCCTTCGAATTTTGTTGGTTCAATGTTTTATATTTTGACATGTTTCTTTCACTAGCAAACTAATGAACTAATCGACCGTGTAACAAATTAGCCAGCAAAACATCCAACTGGGCAACTAACATCAACTAACCATGTTTGATGGTTCATGGCACTTCATTTGCTGGCGATATCAGTGATATCAGTGATATCAGTGATATCTGCCTGTTGCGCAGGGCGTCTTCAACCTTCTGGATCGAGGTAACAGCAAGGTGCATCCACGAGTGGATGGAAAGCAGGGTGTTGGATTTCAGCAAAATTTGGCAGGAAACCACTACTCTTTTAAGATTAAGTTAATTAAGGAATGTTTTAGGTACTAACCAGGATTTCTTTCCTTGAACCATCTTAAACCAAATTCATTGAAAGAATCAGTTTGCAGACAAGAAATCATCAGAAAACCAAAGGCCGCCAGTATGGAGTAATGAACTGTCTTCTTTCTGGGGATTCTTTTTGATAACTAAAGTATTAAAGTGAAGGATCCGAATCTAAGCAGCTGAAAAATGATTCGCTTGTGTGTCTATGCTCTAGTTAAAGCTGCCACAGCGAAAGGGGGAGTAGCTGGACCGAATTCTCAGTTTGTTATCCTCTTTTGGATGGTTGATTGCTCTTGCTTACCATGGTCAACTGCTTTGAACAGATTCGGGTCATTTAAGATTCGGCCTACCTGCTGATTTAACATAGCCATGGAAAATTACCCACGTTGTAGATGCTTTACCATGGTAAAAGCATTGCAATAATTAAGCCCCACCTTTAAAAAAAGCGGCAGGTGAGCAGAGGGTAGCGAGAAAATCAAGCATGGCTGGGACATCCTGGAACTAAATTGGAAATGGGAACATCATCGAACTGAATGTAAATTGACATGTTTGTAATTGAATTGTTTGTACATGCATTGCATCCAATGCATCTCACCTCACATAAATTTGTACTCGATTAATTGAGCCTAGATAATTTCGGTTCATACGGCCTACATAAGTAAGGACATTGTTCCAAATGTTTGTCAACCAGCATTTGTGTGTTTCATCCACTATGTTTTGCTGCTTTTCTCTCCATGTTGGTCAATTCCCTTGTTGGTTAGGGCCAAATGTGGTCACATTTGGGATGACCCCAGCTGAGTAATATTTTTTGTGGTAAAGCCAACAATAAACCATCCCCAAAACCACCATACATATCCATAAAATTCCATAAATAGGTTGTATAATGTTGTATAATGTTGTATAACCATTCCAAATCGTAGGTTTACGGCATTGGCTTTCCCACGCTAGGTGAGTTTTTCAACCACCCTTTTAAAAGCGCGCTTTAAGTGGTACCATGCCTTCATGGACAGATCTTGCCGGTGGTACCGCAGCTCATCATGCCGATCAAGCCTGGGCCTTGAATGATACATTACCTAGGTTTGTTGAGTTGGTGATAAACGGATGATGACTTCCCGGTTTTTCCACCATGACTGGGGAATCTATGTAGATTTTATGTCTCTGCATCTTTGTTTGGGTTGCGGTCTGGGTACGTAGTAAATTGAGCAATTTTGTTTCGGGTAGGTTAACCATACATTATAGACATAATATACTGTTGGGCACCTGAGTGTTTGTGCTTGCAGAACAAAAAATGATATTAAGCAACAACGGATATGTTTTACCCAATAGAAATTGGGAATCATGTTGCTTCAACCACGATGGAAAGGGAACATTTACAACCTTCGAAACTGATTGTGATTCGATAAATCCACCAGCTGATGGAATGATGGTTCTTATTGAATTTCATCCTGTTGGCATGGTATGAAACCAATTCAAGCAGATAAACTATGGGTTTTCTGAGGTAAGGTAAGGATTTACTTACTTGAGTCTACCACCGGACGAACCAAATTCGATTCATACTTTGCTATTCCATGCACATGTGTTCAATCTATTGTGTGTAGGCCATGGTCAGGAGATGATATGCCTGGGTTATGGTCATTCCACCATGAACATGTGAGTCCTTTTTTGTTGGCCATAAACAACATGTTCGAAATTCCGTTTTAAATGGTGCAATGTTCATCCTCCAATTCAACAATATGGGTATAGAACCTGGCTTTTGACGCGGGGGCTCGTGAGTCAGCGACTGCACCATCTCAAATCCCAAGCTCAGGTGGCGGGAAAAAGAGATAATAAACACACTGAATCTGGCTTTTGACCACAGCACACATACTATCACTACGTAACCAAAGTTTACTTCAATATTGATTATTTGCATTCGAAGTTGCAAGTTTACAAATATCTCATTGCGTAAAGATGTACCACACATGTTACTCCCTTCCCCAACCTCTGTTCAATTCCCCCCGAACGAATCCCTGGTGGATTTTTTTGAATCTGTTCATCTGGGAGTGTTTGATTGGGGGTAAATGATATCAAATAGATTCTTATTGGCTAGTAGTGGCTATATAACATCCCCATTTCAAGATCTTCAAACCATGATTCAAACCATATTTTCCACCACTAACAGATTCTGATTCACATGATTAAACCATATTCAACCATATTATAAACCATATTCAACCATATTATAAACCATATTCAACCATATTATAAACCATATTGAACCATATATATATATATAATAACCATATATAAGCATTCTTAACCCCCTTTTTCTGAAATCTCGGATGGGATTCTCCCGCGTCCTGCCGAGGACGGCCTTGAACACGCGAGACGCCGAGGTCATCAACACGACGCTGAAAGTCTTGCAGGAGCGGATCAGATGCATGTAACGTAGCTAAAACGTAGCTAGTAATTAAGATGGATAATGAGTGATATAGTTCTATGATGTTCTATGTTTTTTTGTTATACAAATTAAATATATATGTTTTATAATCATAGAGTATATGGTTAGAAATATATTAACAAAAAAATGCCATATTGTTGTTAGTAGTATTGCCTCCAAAATCCGAATATTCATTAGATATTTGGGTCCATCCCAGACCTCGTTATAGCAACAGAATATGTCATATGGCTATGGATCAAAACCCCGGCAGCTAATGAAGCCCAAAATAGCTGGGATTTATGGATGTTCATCCCACCAACATTGATAATTATCACATTCCCATATGCCAGACTAAAAATTGGATTGTGAGCATATGTTGTCAAAACCTGTCACAATATTTGCAAATATTTGTCATGGATTTGTCACGGCAAAGTTGCCATATCAATGTCAGAATACACTATATGTATCTATATGTGAGAGTTGATGTCAGAAAAATGCTCCAAGATATGCCAGAATATATTATCCTAGGCCAGGCTACATTTCAGGGTATACGTCAGAGTAAGTGTCAGAATGCATTTGGATACATGTCGGAACATATGATCAAACCATATGTCAGACAATATGTCAGGCAATACAACAGACAATACGTCGGACAACTACCATACAATATATCAGACAATGTGTCAGAATGGATATCAGTGAAATCAGGGTACATACGTGTCAGCAGTTTTATCAGCAGCTGATATTGACTATGGTGAACACACAAAGCAAAGCTTTTAGTTTCTCTGTGTACATATACATATATATATATATATGTATATACACATATACAACATATATATATATTTTTTCAGTACGTAAGGGAGCCGTCAACAAGTAATGAGCCGTCAACAAGTAATCCTTGCAAGCCCGAAAGCCATGATAACATCCGCTACTTGGGGAGCTTGGGGGTCGTGTCAAAGCGAGGTGCCGGTTGTATTGTTTACCCTCTGGTAAACATACAAAAAGCTCTTGAAAATTGCCATTTATAGTGGATTTTCCCATTATAAATGGTGATTTTCCATAGTTATGTTAGTTTACCAGAGGGTATTTGTGGTATCAACAAAATTGAGTTGCCAGTTGTATGACCACACATGAGTTTCATCAGATGTGAGTGAAAAATCAGAGTCATCAAATTGGAGGATAGGGACGGATAGGGATCCAATTATATACACCATATTATACCCACACAGCCTACAGCATATATATATAGAGTACACATGCATATATGTATATATGTATAATATATATATATATATGTACTGTATAGTCTTAGTATATATATATATATATTTACAGAGATATACAGATATACATATATATATACATATACTATACATATATATATATATACTTACATACATACATACATACATACGTACGTACGTACGTACGTACGTACATACGTACATACGTACATACGTACATACGTACATACGTACATACACACACACATACATACATACATACATACAGACAGACAGACAGACAGACATACAGACCTACAGACCTACAGACCTACAGACCTACAGACCTACAGACCTACAGACCTACAGACCTACAGACCTACAGACCTACAGACCTACAGACGTACAGACGTACGTACGTACGTACGTACGTACGTACGTACGTACATACATATAGTACACACACATATATATATAGATATATAGATTTTTGTATATATGTATAGTTTGTGTATATATATATATTAACTTGCGTGGGGGTATGCCCCCACTTGCAGAAGCGTTTCAAGCTCACTTTGTTGACGGCTGGAGCACCGCAGGAAACGTAGGAAAAAGAATGGTTTTCGGATGATTGAGTCTGAGAAGATTGACGGAAACCGTCATGTTGTAGGCATTGCATTTGTTCCTAACCTCAGCCTCAGCCATTATAAAATGATGGTTCTCATCCTTCTGAGGGCTTCGGAAAATGGTAAGACAATGGTATACGCAAGTACACCTATGGTAAAACCAAGAAAAAGTATGGTAACCCCAGAAAACAATGGTAAAACTATGATAGAAACCGAGTAAAACCATGTTAAACTTGGCAAACCCGAGCAAACCCATAGTAAATCACAGTGAACCAATGGGTAAACCCGAATAAAACCATGGTAAACTACAGTAAACCCCAAGAAAACCATGGTAAACCATGGTGAACACTCGTAAAATCATTGTAAACCTACAACCATGGCAAGCACCAATAAAACCATTGTAAACACCAATAAAACCAAGCCCCGATAAAACCATGGTAAACAACAGTAAAACTATAGTAAGGCACAGTAAACCCATGGTAATTCCCAGTAAACCTTTGTAAACACCAGTAATACCATGGTAAACTCCAGTAAAACCATCGTAAATTTCCGTAAATAATGATAAGCACGAAAAAAACAATGGTAAACCCCAATAAATCCATTGTAAAAAACATAGTAAAACCCGGTAAAACCATGGCAACCCCCGGTCAACCATGGTAAACCCCAGTAAAACAATGGTAAAACCACTGTTGCTTCAAGCATTATAAGTAATTTCATTTTTTTGCACAGGCATGCACGACGCCAAGGCAACCGCATGGCAGAAATGCAGGTGCGTGACAAGACGCTGTACAGCGACGGTGTCTAGGCCTCAGCTTATTATACGCAATTCAATTACTAACAATTTTGTTCAGCGACGCTATTGGATCGAGATATGACAGCATAAGACACAATACCAGTCCGGCACCCTTTTTTCACTGACTTCAGAAAACGTAAGCAGTCCTCTGACAATAGCGTTGCCAGGGCAACGTCTTCGGCCAGCCCGGCCGGAAGGGCAGCCGGCTGGAAGGGCAGCCGGCTGGAAGGGCAGCCGGCTCCACGCACACCCGGACCATCCGGCATACCCTCTGCCTGGAGGGCATTGCCACCAGGTCTCGGGCTGCGAGTGCAGCGCGTGCCGCTGGGCCTGGCCGCCCACGACAGTTGGCGCCCAATGGGCGGTGTGACGGGCGCCTGCGGAGCAGGGGCCTCAAGCCTGTGTAGTTGCAAATCTAGCCGAAATGCTGCAAATTGATGCTTTGCTAATTAACTCAGCCTTGCAACCCAGCAGCAGGTTTCGGCAATGTCATCAGGTAAGGTTCCAAAGTTTGGCAGGGTTCCAAGATTCCACAGTTGCAGGTTTCCGGGATTGCGAGGTTGCAGATTTTGGTAGTTCCAAGGTTCCAGTCCAGACTTCAAAATAAGCAGGGTTCTCGGGCCCGAGAACCCTGCCAGGGTTCAAGGTTCCAAGCATCAAGGTTCCAGACTTGCAGGGTCTTGGTTTGGTTCATAACCAATGCAATGCAAAGCAAACGCAAAACACAATAAAACTGCCTCACATTATGTAAAGAACGCAATGTGGGCATTATGTCCCTAAAGTTTCAAAAGGTGAAAGGTTCAAAGTTTTTCACGGGGTTCTTGGTTTCCAGGCAGGTTAGCAAGGCTAAGGTTACAAGAGACCAAGTTTTCCGCCACAAGACCATGACCCTAGAGGCTCATACTTCCAACACTCCAAGTTTCCTGGTTTCAAAATTCCATGGACTAAGGGACCCATATTGTTTCAGGTAAAGCTTGAGGGTTCCCAATGCAGGTTCCAGACTCGCAAAGGGCCGAAAGTTCCAGGGTTCTAGAGCTCCATCAGGGTTGCAGGATTCTAAGGCTGCAGGGTTCCATGGTTCAAAAGTTACAAAGCTCCAGGAATCCAAGGTTGCAGGTTTCCATGGTTTCAGAGCTTTCAAACTTAGGAATTCCAGGGTTCCAGAGCAGAAACCCTTTGCTGGCGCCACCGTTAACCGTTAACTCATCCAGACTAGTCTCAGACCCAAAACTGTGTGGCAGTTATCCGAGCCAAGGTATCTAGCGGATGGCTCAGCGCTGCCTACAGAACAATGAGAGACGACCCACTCCCCGACGGCAAGACGACCGATGACCCGAAGAAAATGAAATCGAGATTGTTGAGATCTGTGATGACTGAGTGCCAACTTAGGCAGTGGGCGCGGGCGCTAAAAAAAATCAGTCGGTAAAGTAAGGTATGGATAAATAAACAACATTCCCATTGCCTTAAGGTGTATAACAAGGGGTTTGCACATCCATGGAAGATGGATGGCGCCCTGTGTTTTGGCCACAAGCCGTAAGCCCTTGCCCGGATATCTCATCCAGCATCTTTGCACCCAAACCAGCTTGGTACCCAATTGTGTCAAATTACACGGCCGGCAGGCCGTGTGGTCTTCTCAATCACCACGGAAGCGGCTATTCAGCGGCTGAAAAAATGCTCGGGTGGAACCCCTTTGTTTCCAAATGGAATACCTTCCATATTTTGGTGTCACCCTTCAATTTTATAGACACTGTGAAACGCTTATTTCAGAAGTTCCCGTGACAGCGCAAGTTAACATATATGTATAATATATAACATATGTATAATATATCCATATATATATAAAGTAAAATATAAATAAGATCATTTTTTATTTATATAACATTTGTTTATTTATATGTTTTATTTTCTATAGTTTAAAATATATAGAATAAATTTAATGTAGTTTATAGCATGCATTATTTATTGAATATACATATATAATATATATTATGATATATTTATTCAATGTATAATATATATATATATATATATATGCACGAACGTAGGGCTCGGGGACTCCCGGGACGTGGTTGGGATTCGTGGCCTACGCCTGGCAGGCGCTGGTGCTGTCCGGCGAGATGATCGGTGAGGCCCTCGTACCGTGGGGAAAGCCCAGGTTCCTCCGGCAATGTGGTGGTTGAACGGTGGCCTTAAAGGTATCAAAATGTATACACTAGGTATAGCCTGTAAAGAAAATATAGTGAAAAAACAAACTATGTAGATGATGTCCAAAAGCATTTGTGTTCCAATGTTTTCCACATCTATGTTAGTTTATCTAGGATAAGTCAACAACTGACGGACCCATAGTGAGAGGATAGTGGGAATAAAGTCAGTTGGATGGAAGAACAAACAAAACTGGTGTAGCAGTGTAACATGATGGACATTCACCATATTGTAGGAATTTTAGCGACAACCAACAGTGGTATAGCTGATATTACATGACACACTACGTATTTGGTATATATTTGTAGGGATTTAACCACAAAATCATGGTGGTTTCACCAACAAGATATGGTGACTCAAGTATATGGGGATACCACTGGACGCAATATCATTAGTTGACTTAACTTGGGGGTTCTAATATGTGTTTCCCATGAGGATACATACCAACCAGCTATTGCCAGCTAATTTTTTTTTTGCTGGGCACCGAAGATTGGCAATGTTTTAAATAAAGGAACCCCCATGTCATGGGTTGTCGTAGATATTCTTGTCCAAGAGTTTTCAGGTGTCCAACTTGGTTAATCTTATTTTTTGGGGTCGGGGGAACCATAATGTCCAATCATGGTGGAACTTGTTCAATGATTGTTTCATGAAATTGAATGGAATGTTTTAAAAACCAAACACAACAAGAGACCTAACATGATAAAGTAAAACAAGGTAATTTATATAGCATAGCAAAAAAACATGGTCATTGAAGTGAATTTATTTTCCATAGCTATGTTGGTTTACTGGAGGGTAAACACTATGTTTAAACCAATTCATTGATGTTTGGCAGATTTTTCCTAAGGATCTAAATACGGACTTTCCCAGGTCTATGATCTTTTCGCAATGATGGCTGGCTAAGATTCGCCAGTATGAACGTGGTTGTTGGTGGCGGTGGTGACGATTCACCCAGAGCATAAACCCAAACATTGAATATCATCTAAATTCATTTAATATCATTTAATTGAGGGGGCTGTCAGCGAAGGGGAACGCGCATCTTATACTCCAAGGTAGTCGGATGTAAAGATTTGCGTTTTGACTGAGGCAGGTAGAAGAAGATTAGCAGATTAGCAGGAGGAATCTCGAGGAAAGAAGGCACAGTGTGTATATTATACCTTGGATGATCTGAGTGGATTTCTAGGAGTTCTGATATTGAGTCCCCAGGACATTACATATATATTATATTCCGCATGATGTCATTATGATGTATATGCTGGAATGTGGTAAACCCAATAATAAACCATCCAACAACATCCAACAACATGGACCAAGTGACCAAGCGGTGGTCACTTTACATCAGCCATCATCCCAAGTAGATCCAGAGGTATACAGTACCCAACTTCATAAACCCCAAGTAAGGATGACCATATTATTGGGTCCACCACATTATCATACAGTATCTATCATATTGCTGATTATATATATTTTGAGTTATATGCCATGAAATCCCATGAAAACCCCCACATCATTATATTCCCCATGATTCACAAAAATCTGTTCTTTGGCTTTTCTCTCAACCCATGTTGTCGCGGAGTTTCTCTGTGGCCGCTGCCGAGGTACTACCGACAGATCCTTCCTATCTTCAGCATCTTCAAGCAGTGCTGCTCGGGGTCTCGGCCGCGGGGGCATCCAAAGATTCTGATTTCTTGGGGAAAGTTTAGGGGTAGTTGCTCCATTGGAGATTGAAACGAAAAACAGAACTGGTGTTTGAAGGTGTTTTTCAATAAAGCTTGAAGAAATCAATTGAACTGGAATCTCTTTGGTGACCTCAATGGGTAAAATCCTATGATAATCAGTGTTTCATAGTCACATATAATTACACATAGTTACCAACTGGTGCAGG